AGGTTTCTCAAGCTGCTGCGCCGCAAGCTCACCGGTCAGCTTGAGGAGACGATGAGGGAGCAGGCGCTCTCAGGGCACGTGGGTAGGCCATAGCAACCCTTTGACTGGGGCAGGGATAACTTCTTTACAGAAAGCAAGGTCAATTAGTCACACAAAGGGGGTTGTCCACAAGAGGCCCTGATCCTCTTTAATGTGACTGCTTTCGTGTCCTCTTTAGTGTCCAGCTGTTTTGGGTGTGACTGAAATTCCAAAATCAAAGCCTGAGCCGTTTGCTTTTTAAGGGTGGCTCATCCCAAGCTCTTCCCAACTCAAAGGCTAAGTGGCTCCCTCAGCAATGAGCTTTTCTGCTGCACAAGGCAGTGAGACGCTTAGCCAGTAGAAAGGTGAAGTACGGTCTGGAGGTAAGCAGAAGCAAGAGCAAGAAAATGGCTAAGGGAACAGCACAGCACAGAATCTCAGCTTAGCCACTCGCAAAACAACCAGCATTAAACTAAGCAATTGGAATCTGAGAATCAGTCTTAGCAATGAAGTTGGAATTGACAATGCTAAAATAAGTACTGGGACTGGGAATCTGAGAGTCGGCCTTGGCTAAACTAAAGTGAGCGCTGGGAATCTGAGAGTCAGCCTTGGCAATGCTAAATTAGAATTGGCAATGCTAAAGTAAATCTGGGAGTCTGAGAGTCAGCCTTAGCTGACTGCTTCCACTGTTTCGGGGGAGCGGGGTGGGCACTAAAGAGGGTCCAACCTTCTGTGTGATCAAGGCGCAAATTGCAAACAGCTACGGTGAGTGATTTCTGTTGCACCGTTCTACCTGCTCAGGTGCCTTGAAAGTCTCCAATTGCGCTTCATTCAGGCCTTTAGGCTGGTCCTGCGCAGGTGGGTGAAGCTGTGGATCTCAACATCGAGACATTGAGCGACAAGGCTGAGAGTTGACAGGCAGCATGAAGACTGCCGTTGCCAACCACGGGTTGGCACCTGACATTTTTCAATGAGCAGTGGGTTCTCCCACTGTTCGTGTGCGACTGGTGTAAACGACATGTGCCTTGCTCAGTCTACAGCAGCACGGCTTGGAGCGTGCAAGCTCTCATGACATGCTTGCAGGATAGCCACACTGACAGTTTCTGGCTGACGATGCGTATCCTGGACATGGACATGGTGTCACTGCTGAGAAAGACGACGCGCGGACAAACATGTAGAAGGGACTGGGTGTATTTTGGACCTTGTAGTGTTGAATTTTCCTTTTGCAGGGAGGGCGGGAAGTCTGTCGATGACTAGCTGGGCCTTGGACCTGCCTGGGTTGCACTTTGGCCCCGTGCAATGTGCTGGGCAACCGGCGTACGGCAGCTGGTGGAGAGGAGGCGGCAGCTCCAAGAAGCTTGGAGGTTTTGCTTCCCTGTGCAAACCTGCCGGGTAGAAGGGGGGAATTGCTACTTCGTTTGCAGGCACGATATGTTTAGTCGAGCTCCCGAAGCTTGTTGCATGTGCGAGTATGCTGGCAGCGAAATCTTCGTGAACAAGTTTCTGCTGGTCAGGCCCTTCCGATTCGGCGGAGGATGTCGTAGGTTTGGGCATCGATTTGCTCTTTGGTCTTTGCAGGAACTCGCGCTGCCTCTCTCGAAACGCACGGCGCAGATGCCCGACGAAGCCGCAGCTGCGCTTCAACGTTCAGGACCGCCCAGCTTCGGCAACGCCGAAGTGAGTCTACCTGTCCACGCCGGATTTGGCCCAGCTTGGCCAGGAACAACGACAATGCTCCCACAAATTCTCCACCACCACCTGCGTTTGCCAGTTGGTAGGGGCCCGCAGAATCTTCAGGGTAATTTTGCCGTGAGACTTCGCCGCGCTACACGCGGTAGCTAGGCGCAGCTGGTAAAGACCGTTTGTATCAGCTTTGGACTGCGCTGCTCCTCGCTAACACCGCGCCGCCTTGAGCGCGTTCAGGAAGCGCTGCAGGTCAACGCGCGCCAAGCTGTCCACCAAACATGTCTACGCCAAGTCTTCAAAGCCGTCCGAAGCCTGCCAAAGCTTTGCTTCTCAGCTGCCGTCATGAAGGAGAGCGACAATGCAATCATCTTCACCGGCTATGTCCTGACTGGAAAAGCCAGAAACTTTCCCTTTAAACAGCTCAAACAAAATCAGCCATGCGTCCTTCTTTTAATTGTCCACGATGAGGACACGTATTCAACATGTGAACAATCCACTGGCAAGATCTTGATCACCAAGGACTATGTTCAGTTGAAGAATGTGTATCACGAAAGGTTGCCTTTGGTGGCTACCTTGTGTACTTCCTTGCGCTAGCAAGGGGGAAGATTCCTTTTTTACTCAGGTGTGTTTTGTCAGGCGCAGGGCGCGGGGGCAGAATTGCCTCGCTCCAAACCTCAGCCATGCAGCTAAAGCGTAAGGACACATCGCTCCAGACCATAGGCCGTCAAGCCTGCGTGACACGCTGCTGACTCGTGGGGGACATGCCCACGACAAGGTCATTGGAGGCGTTTGTTGCCGCTGTTTCTTCTGCGTGTTTTAGCAGAACTGCCTCAGCGCTCCAAACCTTAGACACGCAGCTTCCTCGTAAGGACGCATTGCTCCAAACCCTAGGCCTTCACACCTTTGTAACAGACGGCCGGCCATGTGACGAATTAGCTATATCGTCAGCGGTCGTTTCAGCTAAACTTCGTTGCTGGCAATGCTGGTGATGCCCGGAATCTGCCATAGAAAGCCCCTCATCGCTTGTCATTCTGCTGTTGGGAAAGCTGGCCCTGCTACCACAATTCAAGCTTGGGAAATAGGGGGTCCCAAACGATGCAAGTATAAGTAGAGAGGGCCGACAAGGGCAAATATTGAATTACACAAGGCAATGGTTAAAGGGTGGGGTGCATTCCCTCCAGCGCTTCTTTGTTGGCGTCGCCAGATGTTATAGATCATTGGATGTGGCCATTGTTTCATCTCAGCCTTGTTTCGCGCGGACTCTCCCCCCCCGCCTGCTATTGATCATTCGTGTGGCTCTTGTTCCTTTTCATTCTTGTTTCGTGTGGCTTTACTGGAGGACGCTTCGCCGCTCGCTTGAGAAGAGTCAACCTTAGAAGGTCAGAACAGATCCCACATAGCAGGGTCGGAAAAACACCCGGGCCAGACAAACAATGGTCACAAATGCAACCACCAAGGAGGTCAGATCAAGGCCATAAAAGCACAGCCAAGATGGGACCAATCAACTGACAGTAGGCAGCGCAGCCTGGACCCCTGCTGCAGTTTGATGAACTCTTTGTGAGCGCCCTCTCTCAGGAAAGGGGACAAGTTTGCCGACGGCTTTGCCAAGCTCATCTCTATCATGCACGTTTTCCTCGCGAATGGAATTCAATCTATGGAGACTGGGCAGTGACACATGTGCAAGCGCGTCAGTAGAGTTCAAGGCAAAGGGTTTGCTCCACGCCGCGGCCAAGGTAACTGAGATCCCGAAGGTTTATGCCATGGCCAACGCCAAGTTTTTATCAGGACCCTTGGCTAGATCCCTCAGGCTGATCGGTGGCCCCATTTGCATCCAGTGGAATCTTGCAAACGCAGGAGACGTTCGGTGAAACCAACGTGGTTGAGCAACACATGAACCAATCAAATTTTCAGCACAGCGTGTTACTTCAGAATGTTCAGAAAAGCAAATGGGCATCTCAGCTTTGGTCAAAACTGAGTGTTCTCAAACCTGTGGAGAGATCAGAGCCATTGAGCGCCGGCAGGACTTGAAGAGATTGTGCCTCAGAAGCTTGCAGAAGTCCTGGGTGCCCAAGTTTGGCCAGTGAGCCCTCAAAACTTCAGGCTCGTTGGCACAGATATGCACAGATGGTGAGAAAGTGTTCCAAACAAGTCCCTTGCTGCCAAGTGACTGGGGGTTTGCTTGCAGGTGGCTGCGAAATGAACAAGCAAAGGGGCGCTGCTGCAAGGGCAAGATAGATCAGGCTCCGGTGTTTGCTGTCAAACACGCCATCGTGCAGCCAGCATCAGCCCAACCCATCTCATGCGGCGGCCTTCCCGCTGGTTCAACTTCCAAACTTATTGTGGCAGGTCTACTGGGTTGGCTCCAGCGTGCTATACCACGGATATTTCGGACATGCCCCTGGATTTTGCCCGCACGTGGCGCCATTCTCAGGCGGCGGTTCTTCTGGCGCAACGTTGTGCATGGCATCCGCGCAGGGTGTGCTTCGAGCAGATCCTTGCAGATAACACAGGAAACATCTGGAACTACCTTCACGGACCCGGTGCTTTGGGATACGATGTTTGGGGGGGGGCAGGGCGGGTCATAAAACACGCCACAGGACTGTTTCCAGTTGGCCGATGCAAATGAGACTGCGCTCGTGGGCTTGAGTGCCATAAAGGCTGGGCTGCACACACAATGCGCACCACATGCTCGCGGCGACTGAATCATGCATGGCAGGTCAACAAAACCTGCAGCTGAAGCTGATGACGTTTCGTTCGTGCCATGCAGTGGCGAGAAACACATCGCATCAGTGGAACATTTGGCATCATGTCGTCATGACTTTCAGCACTTCGATATGCGGCAAATCCCATTCCACGCGCAGGTGGCCGCTTATTCAACAAGCACTTGCCTCGGAGTTGTCAATTTCGCATTGTGTTGTCACATGATTATTGTATTCATACGTTCATGTCAATTTGATGATTGATTTCTTACAACGGGGGAACCATTGCAGCGGATTTTTGGTTTGCGTATATATATATATACACATCGAAACGGTGGTTGAAATATGTTAATGAGAGGGTACTTCTCGTTTTGGTTGTTTTGAGCAACCCAAACTCTTTGAGGAACTGAACTCACAAGTTGCATCACTTTATTTGGGGGTCCACCGGAGCAACATCACACCGCACAGCGACGAGGTCCTGTCAGAAGAAGGTGCAGAGATCACCGAGGTTTTCTCGGCATGTTTCTGATTTGCAGGTGGCTTGCAGCAAAAACAACAGCAACTCCACGTGAATTCATTTTTTTTGAGATGAGATGACACGTGTTGCTCAAAACCAGAATTTGGAGAAACATGTTTCCGTGCGCGTGATCTGTTTTGCGCCGCCTTGGCTCAAGCCTTTCTAGTGTTGCTCTATTCGGGTGTGTGCCTTGCCTGCGATAAGTTGGCAAAGTGGTGACGGCCATGCACGACAACATCTTGGAAAACAATGCACGTGCGCCATGACAAGTGTTTGTCTCACAACGCCGACCGAGGTTTCAGGCCTTTCCGGATCTCTCCGGTTCACGTTCAGACCTTCACGTTCTTTTTCGAGGCACATGTTTTTGGTGCGAGAGTTGGGCGGGGTGGGGCAAACAGCGGCGGACAATTCTGCCAGCAGTGCATTTTGCATGCGCGGAGCAAGACAAGGAATGTGTTGGTGCGTGAACAATCATTGTGTTGGATTGAATGACATCATGACCGATGGTGCCGAATTGCTATTTCATGTTGCGCAATCCACAACCGTGCCTGGCATTTTGTGTATGATCGCGCATGACACTCTGACTTTGACAGGAAATCATGGTCATCAAGTACTCCAGGCGCATCGACGCAGCTGATTTCTCCGATGGACAGCAGACATGCTGCATGCTGCCTTTACGCCCTTTGGCAGACATGCGGGCGGTCAACATGTGGAACAGTTGGTGTGGTGGGTAATTCGTAATTTAGACGTCGAAAACGCACATGGAATGCAAAGAATTGGGAAGCTGGAAACCATTCGTTGTTCGGATGTTCAAAACTGCAGCCAGAACAAACCGCAGCATTTGCCAGTTTAATTGACATGAACACAGTTATTTGGGCTAGTCAACACATCATTCCGTTCAAGTATTGGCGAGCCATGGCAGGGTTCAATCAAATTCGCCCGTGAGAAAATTCCCTGTTCGGGCATCCGTAATGGCCGTTTTTGCAATTGTTCATACATGTTGCAAATTGTTTGTTGAATCGGCACCCCTCAAAATATTTAACTCCCATTTGGTGACGGGAAACGACAAGCACACTGTTGGAATGGCAAATGTTCGTATTTTTTAATTATTTTTTTAAACCCTAACCCAACATGTCTGAAATGTTTTCATGAGCAACTTATTCCAGCGTTGTTCCTCGAAGCCAACATAAATTGAAACATCACCTATACAGGAACCATACATAGGTTTCTTTTCCGTGTTCATTGGCCAAACATTGTCGCCCAGGTTGGGGAACCGTTGCCTTTGGGACCTTCTTTGCAGTGGCCGGCATCGCGCAGCTCTTTGAGCAGGAGCTTGTATTGGTCCGAGACATGAAAAAGAGAATGACGAAATCGTTATCTTGCTTCATGTTTTGGACATTTAGCAATTGTGTGGTTTTGATGTTGCCATGTCAGCATTATGTTTCTTGTTGACGTGGTCGTATTGAGACATGGTGTTATTTTGCAAATAGTTCACATGTCAAATGTAGGGTGGATGCTTTGCAGGTGTACAAGGAATGGTCAGAGGGGGAATACAAGCTGGACGAGCAGAGCAACTCAGCTCATGAGTTTTTTCTTTGTCCGCTTGTACTTGACTCTGCAATTTTCTGCTTCTGGTTCTGCCTCTGGCTGCAACTCCCTCTTTTTGGCCATTACATCCAAGCTGCATTTATTCTGTCCCCGGGGTTTCTGGAGATGTGCAAAACTGAAATTTGGGCCCGGCTGAGGTCACAGCACCCTGACGTTGGTTGCCTTGGCTTCCTGCATGACCCTTTCCGGGGTCTCTGGCTTGCTGGGTTCGCGGCTGAGTCCCAGTTGGCCATGTGCTCGTGTGGTGTGAATCGGCGGACTTGGCCATTTGACGAAAGGGCTTCTTGACAAGGTGCTTTCTTCGAAGTCCGCATTCCCGTGACGCTGCTTGGCAGACAAAACATCCCATCATCATATAGGGCAAAACACATGTACAAGACCGTACTTGCATGATTCTTTATGCATGGCTGCCCCGGAAACCTTGCAAAACCACCCGAGGTTCTTTGCCATCATGCTCCTGTTGCAATGTTTCTTGGAGATCGCCTGGTTCTGCCTGGAGGTGGGGCCTACCAGTGCCACGTTTTGGACACTGGTTGGTTGGAGTTGAAAGGAACGCTCGTTTTCTGTGGTCGTTTCTGCAACCGGTTTGAATCGTGCCGGCAACCGGTTTGAATTGCAACCTTGGACTCACAGGATCCGCAAATTTGCAATTTCTGGCTGGAACAAAATGACTGAGGACAGGACTGGCACGCTGGCGGGCATGGTGAGCATGGTGTGGAACGAGGTAATGCTCGGCACCTCCGCCAATGGTGTTTCACAAGACCTCCGTTTTCCCGTGAATTTCCGCGCGATCAATGCAACATATGTGTTTTTCAAAGGAAAAGGTGCATTTTAGTGGCGGTTCCTGTGTTGGTCAAACGCAACAGTTGTGTTTTTCAAATGCAAAAGAGAAACGCTCTGCGTTTTTGGGTGTTTCCAAGGGTTTGAAGAGACACACCGAGGGTTTTTTTGCGAAATGCTCCCCATGCTGGCGAACCGGGCGCCAGAATTTCACGAGTTTTTGCCAGGCAAGCGCTCTGGCGAGAACGCGGTGGCTGTGAACTTGTTCTACACGCTTCTGTCATTAAACCTCCACCTCTGGGCCTGCGGCGTGGTGGCAAGCTACGCTCCTCGGAATGAGAGTTGTTTGTTGGCCGAGCCCGGCGCAACTGTGTTGCGGTCCAGTGGAAAACAAAGCTTGAAGGCGCTTCAGCTGCGCATCATGGGCAAAGCGGTGTGGTTCGAACCGCTCGACGACGAGGACACCGAGGATGAAGAGGACCAATTGCTGCGAATTTGTGATTGATTTGGGGGAATGAAGGCGTGAGGGTGTCAACATTGGGACCCTGCTGTCAAAATGTCCGTAAGCGCCACAATTCAACAATCTACAAACATGTTTCCAGCTATTTGCGACATGACTCTTAGAAGGTTGGCACCACACCCAAAGAACAAACTCAACTCTTCGGTATGGCAAAACGCAGGAGGCCAGAGACCCGGCAGCTCCTCTCACAGAGTCCAAGCCTGATGGCTATGGAGCCACGGACGAGGCCCCGGCGGCCCCGGCTGCGGCCCCGGCTGCGGCCCCGGCTGCGGCCCCTGCCCCAACAGCTGCCGAGGCGCCTGAGGCGCCCGAGACGCCTGCCAAAGAAGATCAGGGTGCTTCAGCTGTATAGAGTTCATTGGGGCCAGCGCAGGAAAAAAAAGAAAATGCGTTGCGCGGGGAGTGTCGGACAACTGTATCGATCTCCTCCCATCACGGTCGTGCAATGGCAGACATGCCAGGTGCTTCTCACACACTCGCACTATGCCTGCACCTCGGGTATGACCATCTTCCAGCGAAAATCCTGTTGTACAGCTGCTCTGAAGCTGGTGGCGTTGTATCGTTCCATTTTTGAGACGTCTGCTTTCCGGGCCCGTGGAATGATTATCCCCACTACAATGCGCGTCGAAGAGGCAGCAAAACAAATTGTTACGGCATCGGTTGCGTTTGCATATCGATGGGCAAACATCGACAGCGCTGACAGTTTGCAAATGACATCCATGCATGCTGCAGTCTTGGCGTGCCCTTCCCCCTGTCGGTGTCGGTAGTATTTTGCCAAACTTGTGGCCCCAATTGTTTTGATAAGCAGATTGTTTGGCATTTGCATCCAATAGATGTTTCTGCGGTCTGTCATCATGTTCATGGAATCAGCCTCGCAAGTCGGGTTCAGCATGAAATCTCCTCGGGGTGTGGCTTGCGCCCAGCTGGTGAGAAGGCAGCTGGCTAGCGTTTTTTTCTCGGTCACATGAAACGACACTGCTGTGTATGATACACACTCAGGACCACATGGGCAACATGTTCGAAGTTCGATCCAGCTTCCCGCAGGCGTGCAGGGCACACAAGTGCCCGCTGCTTGGATTTGCTAACACTGTGGGTGTGCAGCTGCACGAACACATGCCGCGCAAGGGCACTCCAAGCACGCGTGTAGGCTGTGTAGGTACACATTCAGGATGGCACACAGAACACGCGCACCGGCACAGTCTTGTCCGGCCGGGGAGCTGCGTAGAATTGGTTCCATCCGTTTCCAGGCGATACATTTGTTCCCAGAGGTATCATTGTAATATGCGAGGCACCTATTGAGTCTGTTGCCACCGACTCATCCGTTAAATGTTGTTTGTCTGCTCGGTTTAATGAAAATGGCATGTTTGGGGAACTGTTAAACAACAACCTTGTTTCAAAACGATTGTTTTTTGGAGTCTGCAACATCGCACTGAGGATGTGGAGCCCAAACGAGAATCCGTTTGGAAAGGCACAACACATCGGCAGCGGCGTCAAGTTTTTGCACAATGAGTCGCAAGGGATCATGATGCAGCACCACAGGTCGCGCGCCCACAAATTGCTATGCGTCGCAGCTGTATGCCTGGAATGCGCTGCCTCGGCGACTCGTGCATCGTTTCGTGGCTTTTGCACTTTGTCGCGGTTTGACATGTTTTTCCCCCGAAGCGCTTGCGATGTTTGGTTGTTTCTGTGGCTTGCGGCGTGAGCTAAAATCAGTTAGCTAATCAAAAAACACATCCCATCTTGAACCAACCCCAAATTCACAAACACCAAACGCAAGCACACTTACTCAAGTGCAAGCTAACAGCAGGCCCATCTCAGACCAGCCCCCCTACGCTCTCCAAACCCTCACTAAAACAAACCTGGACGTGGTTTAAAGGAACAAACCAACCTTGAACCAACCCGAACAGCATGCAAAACCAGCACAAAAACCGCTCGGCGACACCAGACCTCCCTTGTGCAACGGGTTCTTCCCGTAGGGGTCCCCAAGCAATGGTAACAAACATGGTTAGAACAATTCGCGTCGTTTTCGTTTTGCGCTTCAACGAGTTCGCTTCCTTTGGCGCTCGTCAGAATCTGGGTGCGACCCATCAACTAGCAACGGGCGATCCGTCAAGAAAATGTGGAAAAACCGACACAACAGCCGAGCTGTGGCGCCTGCGTGCTCAGCGGTGGGTAGTTGCGGCATGTTGCGGCGAGGATTGAGGCTCCCGGGCCAACTCAGACGATGCGCAGGTCGCTTTGTCAAGATGTGGGTCCCTTGCAAATCACATCCAAGAGACGTGTTTGAGGCGAAACGCTTGCCTCACAAGTGAGCATCCGATGCTGTTGCGCTGCGCATGAGCCCCGCACGTTTGCTCTTGAGCTTTTGAGCCAAGAAAACGCAAAACTCGAGCTGTTTGCAGGTCGCTGCAGCATGACTCCCGTTTGTCTGGCTCCGCTGGTCGTCCCTCCGAGCGGGCTGGCAAGCGCGCTTGTGCCACACGAGGCAACGTGGTAAACACCGGCACCTTCATGTCCCCCACACAACAGCGAATCTGGCGCAAGGCTAGGTGGGGTTCGCGGTTGGGCTCCGGCCGCGGACAAGGCTGATGATGGTGGCGCCCACAGTGGCCTGCACGCCACCTCAGATGGGAAGGGCGCTGGCCACAACCTCCAGACGGGTGCCGATCATGTGGTCGCGTAGGAGCACGTTCCCGGCTACGCGATAGCTCATCCCACTTCCTGCAGAGTTTTGCTTCAAGAATCTGAAGCATCGCTTGTGCCACGTGCTCCTCCTCGCCGTGCGCAGCCCCCTTTGCCTTTGGGCTTTGCCTTGATAGGCCATCCTCGTGCCCAGGCCGGCAGCCATCAAAAGTCTGCAGTTGACGCGTCGCCGATTCGCTTGTGCCCTCGTTGCGCGATGCTGCGGCTTTTTTTGCGCCAGCAGTGGCGTGATTTGTTCTCCCCGGCCCAGTTTCAAGCCAGTATTTTCTTCACAGCTCCCGGATCCGGCGCTGCCGCCTGCTCATCGTTGGGGGTCGGTGGCCCTGGAAGGGGTTGCTTTTGTGCGCCTGCTCGCGCGCGCAAAGACGCGCCGTGTTCCCGAATTGCTGCGCGGCGCAGGCGTGGGGACTGCCTTTTGCGCAGTCGCCGCGCAGCGAGTGCTGGCGCTGGCCGCCAGCCTGCTTGCAGCTCCCGCAGTTTGAGGAGGCGTGTGTTGACGAAGCAGAGTTGCTGGTGAGCGACTTGCTCGTTGACGCCCGGTGGAAATGCTTGGCGCCTGCCTGCGCGAGCCTCGGCGCCTAGTTGAAAGCCTGGAGGGCGGCAGACGCGAGCAGGGCGGACCAACGAGCAGCGAAGGCGGAGACGACTGAAGGCTGAAGGAGGGCCGGCGTGGAGCGAGCCCGCGCACGAGCAAGGCTGCGGAGGAAGCTGCGCACTTCAGGGCTCCACCGGCCCCCAACCTCGATGGCAAGCACGACAAGGCGGCACTGAACGTGATGTCGACCGCTACCTGAGCTCCATTCCAGAGCGGATGCTTCGCGAAACTAGGTATACGAAGTGCGACGCAAAGTGCGAGCAGCGTGAAGCTGGCACCGTGCGCCCACGGGGCCTCAGGACGCGCGTTTGTTCTCAGCGCCTGGACGGCCCGCCCGCAACAAGACCTCCGCTTGAGAACTTTCGGTCAGGCGGCACAGGTCCCGGCACGCTGGAAAGAGCTCGTTTAGCCGAGGTTTGCGGCGACCCCCACCAGCTCTTCGAGACAGTGCGCGAGGCCGCCCGCGCTCGCTCCGGGCGGCGTCGCTAGATACAAATTTTCGAGGGACGCGAGCAGCTGAATGGCTGCGCATCACGCGACAAGTCCCCTCGGCGCCCCACCGCAAGAAACACGAGGGCCACCAGCGAAGCAACTTGGACACGACGGATTGGAGCTGGCGCAGGACGGCCGCCCTGCCCACTGTGTCGTGGGCGGAGCGTCCATCACCGACGCCGACTCGGAGGCTACGGTCCTGTCCCCCAACAATCCTCTTTGCTAACGCCTCGCATGCTGCGGGCAAGGACGCAATGCTGCGCCGAGTGCGCGATTTTGAGCACGGCAAGCGGCGTGAGCTTCTCGCGGCCGCTGGCCACGGCTCTCACCTCGCACCTGTGCGCTGCAGAGTTTTAGGAGCCGCCGCACAGCGGCGCGTGCGAAGGTCCGGGGGGGAGAGGCCTCCAGGCCGCCAACTGTTGACAGCCCAGTGATGAGGCATCCTCGCTCTCGCAAAGCCGCGCTCCCGGGAGGCTGCGCCTGCCCTACGCCCGGCCGTTGTTGCAGCTCTGGTCGCTCGGTGGTTTCTGCCCCCTTTGCCGCCTAGCTTTCCTTTGCCGAGTCTTTGCTGGGGGGCCGGGTCGCTGCTGGCCAGTCCAACTTCGGCGGGCCCTGCCCCAACTGGAGTGCGCTGCTTGCCGACTCCACTTGCCCGCCACGCACCGGCAGCCGTCTGTCTCGGTGACGGCCTCTTGGGCCGGGGGCCGCCGGGATATAAATGGCCAGCTTGGTGCACGTGAGGAGCTGGCCTCCGAATAAACAGCCGCCAAAACCCCTTCTGCCCGGGGGCATCCCTTAAAGGGTTTTCCTGGAGGGTTGCAGAACCAGGCGATGGAAAAAGGCGTGCGAGAAAAAAAATGAGATTGGCAAGGTCAACCGCAGGCGGCGGGCAGGGGCCTCACTCCAGCAGCCGCCGACCTCGAGCGCGAGGACGGCCAACCGGCAACAGTTGGACCGCAGCAGCTCGGGATAGACCAAGAGCGGCGCAAGAGGGGGCATGGGCCTCAGGCAGGCTCAAGTGGGGCAGGACTGCGCGAAGAAACAAGGGCGTTTACCTTTCCAAAAGAGGCAAGCAGGGGCAACGGCGGCCGCAGAACGCAGACCGAGACCACCAAGCCGAAGAGGCAACCTTGCAACGTCCAACGCCTGCGGGGGCAACTGGCCTGCCTTTAGCAGGGCGGACAAGCAGTCCGCAACCGCGAGGTCATGGTGTGCGCTCACCGTCCCCCGTCCCCGGCGCCAGCTGCCCAGCGCCCAGTGGGGGAGTCACACCAGGACCCCCTATCGACCCGCCAGAAAAAATTGCCCGGCTTGCCTGGAACCCGCCACGCTGAGTGTGTCGTCCCGTGCAAATGGAACTGTCGCCTGCCGAGCTTGACCCTGACGCTGCGCCTGGCACCACTCCTGGTCCCCGCCCCCGGCTGCTTCTGGCTGGCGACCACCTCTCGATTTCCAGTGGTGCTCTGATACGTGTTTCGCGCCTTTCTGGCCTGACGTCGTTCCGCGCCGACGCCTTGCACGGCATCCAGGCAGCGTCGGCGCTGGATGGCCGCCCGATGCCACACCAAGGGGCCCGCCCTGCAGTCTGTCGAGGTTGGCAGCTGCCACCTGGGCGTTCTTTCGGTGCGCGCTGCAACTAGGCCAGCGCGCGGAGGGATACGTTTCTGGTTGTGGTTGTCGGTTTTTGGTCGTTGTTGTCGTCGTTTTCGTTGTTGTTGTTGTTGGT